GAATAGAAGCGGCACCACGGTGGTGACATGTCGCTGTCGATGCCACGACCCTCCCGCTTGGCCACACCCGGCCCCCCGGCCCCAGACACGGCGGCAGCGACCTGGTCAACAGAAACACCACCTCGTGGCGTGCGTCTGACCCGCTGACCCCGCCGGCCATGCCCTCGGGGCCCTCGGCCGGCAGCCCGCCCCGCCCCGACCCTGCATGACCTGCATGGCTTCTCCCGGGGCACATGCGCCCGCAATGATTTTCCTATCAGTTCGTGCCCGCGTGCACTGCCCTGGCCGCCTACCTCCGGACGCGGCGGCAATAAAACACTTGACGACAAATATTGAATGTATGCACGGCACGGCTGGCAAACTCTGCCCGCCGCCACACGGGGCCCGGCGCTGGCGTGTCGGCCACTGGCACGCTATACGCCCGGCTACGCCACTCTCCGCCACCGCCCGGTTACGCAAGCGGCTGGGGGCCCCGACCCATACCTCTCTGCTCCATCTCACTCGCCCTCATGCTCTACTCGCTCACGCTCTTTCTCTCGCTCTGCCCGCAGGACCCCGAGCAGTGGCCGCTGCTCGCGCCCGTGCTGCCGCCCCCGGGGGGCTGGGGGCTGGGCGTGCCGCCGGGGCTGAGCGCCGCCGACATCCTGCCGCTCGCCAACGACCCCTTCTGGTGCCGGGTCCGCGCCGCCTTCATGGCGCTCTTCTGGGTGGTGATGGTGGCGCTGCTCGCCAGCGTGGTCGTCATCGTCGTCAACGACCCCGCGCCCTGCTCGGCGAGGAAGCCGCCGACGCCGGAGCAGACGTTCAACGTCAGCCTGCCGCTCTCGGCGCTGCCGGTGCTGCAGGCCGTGGCCGCCTCCAGGTACTAGCACCAGCGCGACGGCACCCCTCTCTTCAGCTGCGAGCAGGCCTCCCCTCTCCTTATCGTCCTCCCGTCCGAAGTGAGGCCGGTATGGACGATGCACTTCCCTTGTTTGGTGACCTGGAAAGTCCACCATTGAGACATCTGTGATAATTACAAGACTCAAACAAGAGACAATGGGCACGTGGCCCACCCGGTGGCCGTAGGCGGCCGGCAGCGCGACAACAAACAGCTGTCAAGTGGACGGGCAAGTCAGTGACTCAGCCGCCGGCCCCCACCGGCCCCCGCCGCCTCCAAGCCCCCCGACGACCGATATCGCGTTGCTGTGCGATGCTTCCGGGGGAGGGAGGGAGTCCGCCATTGCCACGACGTGGCGGCGCGTGGTGTGGCCTTATCAGTGCGAAAGTGACCATCAAATCGCCTAGCTGCCTGACCTATGTATGGCAGAAAAAAAACGAAACGTGTACGTCAGAGTACGAGCCGTATTTTTGGACCACTCGTTCGTTGCCAAAATTCGCTCCTCTTCTGTCTGTCTACTTCTAAGTCAAGTCTTATGTCAATTAATTCTGTATGGTCAGTACGTTTTACCCTGTCAAGCGTCCATTTTACGTGTATGCGTGCAAATATGTGTGTGTTCTGTGTTTGTCTTGAGACGGATCGACAAGTATTATTACCTGCTTGTTTCTTAATTAGTAAATTATTTATAAAATTCGCCTATGACGCTTTGCTTAAGTTTCGTGTTA